TAAAACTGTGGCTTTTTGGGGGGAATATTAATGAGATCAGAAACACCAGAGGGTTTGGTAACATAATACAGGCTAAACATATAATTTCTCTGGAATCTTTATGTTCTTTTATCATAAACAGCTCATTCCATTAAATAGCATAACATATTAAAATATCTGAGCAAAAAACGGTAAACATGCAGATATGGATACTTCTGTTTCCTTTCCGACAACAGAGTGTTTTTGTGATACACTAGTAGAAATTATCAGAGCCATAGCAGCCTGGAGAGTAAAAGCAGTTCAGCAGTATGTAATGTGGTACTATGATAACGTTCTAAATATAAAGCTTTCTAGAACAATAACTTATCAGTTTTCAAACACCCTGTAGAGCTATTTCTGGCTGAACAGCCCAGCCCGACTGCTTTCAGGGCAACTGAACGGAAAAAACAAAACAAAGAGAATCGTCATTTTGTTCAATTAACATATCAGCCCTGCAGATCTGAGATGCATTGCAAATTACATAATCACCCATACAGAACTTAAAACACAGCGTCTTTATGCCCAAATGCAGGGCTTTCATTTCATATCTTCTCCAACACATTTAGGTAGAAAGAAGCTGTTTTAATGACTGTTTTCAGCATTTACCTCTATTCCTTCCTGAACAGGTGCATTATTAAAATCGCTTAATGCTCTGAGTTTGTCTATTTTCTTATCTGACGTTTGCTATTTAGCTAACATGCTTTGTTATTTGTAAGCAGCAAAAATAAGAGAATAGGATGAAGAGCAGTCGCACCAAAGCAGCCACACCCATTTTGCTGTATCGGCTTGTTTGTTTTACAAATCAGTCAGGATTGACTGACCCTTGACCAGTGGACAAATCTGTACCCGAAAAGGTTGGGTGAAGGCTTTGTTTCTATGTGATGCTAAAGAGAAAGCTTTCTGAGCAAGGTTAATAGTTAATAAGCATGCATTATGACACTGATAAGTCAGTTCCATGTTCCTAGAAGTCTAAGGCTGTTGAGTAATCAAGGACAAATGTTAAAAGATTTCCTTATCATCTTAAAAACGCGATGGACGTAGTTTGATGACATCTAAAATGACTCACTTTTCATTTGTAACAACTGACATGTTTGCATCTTTATCAGAATCAGACATACTTTAATAATCCCAGAGGGAAATTTCTTTTGTTACATGCTCCATATATACACACATATATATACACATATATATATATATATATATATATATATATATATATATATATATATATATATATATATATATATATATATATATATATATATATACACACAATCCACACAAAATACAAATATATACATACACTATATTGCCAAAAGTATTTGCTCACCTGCCTTGACTCACATATGAGCTTAAGTGACATCCCGTTCCTAATCCATAGGGTTCAATATGACGTCGGTCCACCCTTTGCAGCTAGAACAGCTTCAACTCTTCTGGGAAGGCTGTCCACAAGGTTTAGGAGTGTGTTTATGGGAATTTTTGACCATTCTTCCAGAAGCGCATTTGTGAGGTCGCACACTGATGTTGGACGAGAAGGCCTGGCTCTCAGTCTCCGCTCTAATTCATCCCAAAGGTGTTCTATCGGGTTGAGGTCAGGACTCTGTGCAGGCCAGTCAAGTTCATCCACACCAGACTCTGTCATCCATGTCTTTATGGACCTTGCTTTGTGCACTGGTGCACAGTCATGTTGGAAGAGGAAGGGGCCAGCTCCAAACTGTTCCCACAAAGTTGGGAGCATGGAATTGTCCAAAATGTCTTGGTATGCTGAAGCATTCAGAGTTCCTTTCACTGGAACTAAGGGGCCAAGCCCAGCTCCTGAAAAACAACCCCACACCATAATCCCCCCTCCACCAAACTTTACACTTGGCACAATGCAGTCAGACAAGTACCGTTCTCCTGGCAACCGCCAAACCCAGACCCGTCCATCAGATTGCCAGATGGAGAAGCGCGATTCGTCACTCCAGAGAACGCGTCTCCACTGCTCTAGAGTCCAGTGGCGGCGTGCTTTACACCACCGCATCCGACGCTTTGCATTGCACTTGGTGATGTATGGCTTGGATGCAGCTGCTCGACCATGGAAACCCATTCCATGAAGCTCTCTGCGCACTGTTCTTGAGCTAATCTGAAGGCCACATGAAGTTTGGAGGTCTGTAGTGATTGACTCTGCAGAAAGTTGGCGACCTCTTCGCACTATGCGCTTCAGCATCCGCTGACCCCGCTCCGTCAGTTTACGTGGCCTACCACTTCGTGGCTGAGTTGCTGTCGTTCCCAAACACTTCCATTTTCTTATAATACAGCTGACAGTTGACTGTGGAATATTTAGGAGCGAGGAAATTTCACGACTGGATTTGTTGCACAGGTGGCATCCTATCACAGTTCCACGCTGGAATTCACTGAGCTCCTGAGAGCGACCCATTCTTTCACAAATGTTTGTAAAAACAGTCTGCATGCCTAGGTGCTTGAATTTATACACCTGTGGCCATGGAAGTGATTGGAACACCTGATTCCAATAATTTGGATGGGTGAGCAAATACTTTTGGCAATATAGTGTATATAACTCTATATATACATATATGTATATTTATATATAAACATATGTGTAACTATATATCCAAATAAAGTGATACTGACGTTGTGCAAAAACAGTGCAAAGAATTAATAAATGTCAATTACAGAGGGGGGGTGTCTGAATCACTGGGGGAGGCGTTGTAGAGATTGATGACCACAGGCAGGAATGATTTCCTGTGGCGCTCTGTGGTGCATATGGTTAAGAGCACCTTACATTTGGTAAGCACATTTGCACCAGCCCACAAAAAATGATTAAGTCAAACTGGGGGAAAAAATGTAACCAATAAATATGAAGAACTTTAGGATAGTGTGTTACAACAAAAAGGGCTTTGGTGTTAGCTTGCTGCTATGTGTAACCTTTTTTTTTTTTTTTTGAGTGTTGCTGTTAGCAAATGCACCTCACAGCTGGTGGATCTGGGCTGGGGTTTGTAGTCGCAAATGGAAGTAATCCAGGAAGATGCATGTTTTGCATTCACAGCAGACAGGACACACCGCTTAGAGTAAGAGTCACAGTCTACAGAAATACTCTGATGACTCTGCGGTCATTGTGAGCATCAAAGATGAACAAGAAACTGAGTACAGAGAGCTGGTGAACTCTTTGTGGATTTGAATGTCCCCAAAGTGAGGGAGATGACTGTAGATTTCAGAAGAAACAGGAACAAGTTGAAACCTATTAATATCAGTTATTTGGCATTTACAGCAATATGCTAAATATCTTCAATAAGTCTATTGTGGAGGGTGTGCTTTCTTCTTCCATCTTCTGCTGTGGTAACAGAATTAGAGCTAATGACTTAAAAAAGCTCAACAAGCTGAATGCCAACTCTGTTCTAGGACCTCCTCTAGTGATTATTTCACAAAGAAAAATTCATCATAAAGTGTAGAACAACAGTGAGCATCCTCTTCGGAAAGTTTTTAAATAACAAAAGAGTGTCTTCACTAAGGGGCTTCCCCAGATCCGGTGCGAGACAGACCGCTACAGAAGATCCTTCCTGCCTACAGCTATCAATACCTACAACAACTGTTTAAAACAATGAGCCACTGCAGCATTTAATTTCCCTTTGGGATTAATAGCATACTTTTTTATTGATTTTTCCTTGCAGTTGTTTTTACAGATAGATAGAACTTTATTGATGTCACAATAGAGAAATTCACTTGTGACATCGGCTTTTATGAACAACAGAAAGTGCAAAGAGGAGGAAATCCTCATCAAAGAAGAATCATCTTTCTGAAAACTCAGAGAAAACTAGATATTCCTTTGAATATATAGGATGAACTGCATCTTCCAGAGGACACAAATGCATCTTATTCTAATATTATTAACCTTTTAAGCTTTTCTGATTTGACCTGCAAATCAGTAAAAACTTTTCTGAAAGGTATATGAACACAATACTTGGTTGAGCTTCCTTTAGCATTAATTATTGTGTCAGATTCCCACAGCTGTGGTGTTCAGGAAAGCAAGGATACTGCGATACCAGCCTTAAGTTTGACTGCGCTTTTGCAGTTGTTCATCTTTTGAGGTGGAGTAGCAGGGAAAAAAAAAAAGACTTGGAGATAAAGAGATATTTTATTTTTACTGTTTAGCTGATAGTTAATGTCCCTGGCATTAGCTGCCTCAGCTTAAAAGACAAACCCCCTTGCTTGTCCTTACAGAACAGAAAAATCTCTGTTTAATAAATATCTATTTCAGGGTTCGAACAACATACACTTCTGAATCATGCCTGAAACACTTCACAGCAACATGTGAAAACGCAGCACTTCCTCCTAGGCTTGGAAATAAATAGATATTTTAGTTGCCAACAGTCCTCTTTGCATCAAACTGAACAGAACCGGGGATTTAAAAGCTGCTTTCACAATATTCTACTTACACAACCTATTCAACACCCTCCTGACATGAAGACCGACACAGATTCTAGCTCTGAAACGAGATGCATTTTCTTGCAAAGGACTTTTAAGCCTCTGAGACCATAAAACTGCCAAAATAAAAACGATCAGCTGTGTGTGCTCAGTTACTGATCCAATACCTTCAAGCAGAGCAAACTTCAATAACAAAAAGAGGCCAGGATGTTAGGAGAGCAGGTCGGTGAGTGGGAGTGTGTGTGTGTGTTTGGGGGAGGGGTTGTTTGGGACAAACACATCTTTGTTCTCTTTGGCAGTGTAGTCCAGGCAGTTGGCAGAACAGCTAAAAAAGCTGAAGGACCCCAACAAAACCCCACAGTAATGCTGGGAACAGGACACGCACGCACAGTCAATGCGCTTCACTTCCTCTGCAGACAGTTTCAGGATGCAAAGCTCTGAAGCGCTCCCTGCAAACACCTCCCTGAACCGAACGCCTCAGCTACTAGGGATGGGCCCAGAAAACCCACAAAACACTGTAGAGGGGACAAAGGAAAGCAGAAGGTGATGGAGGTACATACTGGTTAGAGCGTAGTTTGGGTTTTCCAGTTCCATGCGCTGCAGCTGAGCTCCCAGGTAGACCTACAGATAAACCATTTAAAAAAATCTGTAATTAATTGCTATAACTGCACGTCATTCCAAGTATTATTTTAATTTAAAGACAACACTACCTTGATGTCAATGCCTCTTGCCGAAGAGGTGCTGTTGAAGAACCGTGCGGGGATCTTTGAGGACAAGTCGGGTTCTTCTCGACCAAAACCCAGATTTAAAAGAATTTCCTCAGGGTCCTCCTCATACAGGTCCAGCAACTCTGAAACACTGTTAACGGACAAACTGTTAGAAACCCAGGAAACGCCACAGTCTGCCAGCCTTTCTGAAAAACCGGAGCCACGAGGGAAATCAAATTGATAGGGCAGCCAATAGGGTTATCACTATACCCAAGCTTGCTAATGGTGAATGAGTGATTGATAAATGAAACCTAACATGCATTAATTCTTATAATCTACCTGTAAAATTATCCTAGATAACTGAGTCACAAAATGAGCCCTGAAAATTTTGTATGGTTACAACAAACGATAATGCATTTTTTTAATGCATAAAAAGATAATAGCGGAAGTGGGTAGGGAAAAAATGGTTTTCAAAAGTCAATATTTTGTAAAAAAAAAAAAAAAAAAAAAAAAAGTTGTGTTATAAAATGGCAATATATTAAAAAGGTTCAGAGGTATTAATTGTTTTGCCTGGTATAATCATAATCCTGTTGATCTACATAGGTCCAAAACATGGAGGCACATCATGATTCTCAACAATCAACCTTAATAACTGCTTAAAACTTGAATTCAAAATAAAATGACTACTGCTTGAGAGCTAAAGGCTTATCCATTTGTTGGAAACTAGACCTGGATTTAAAAATCAAACCGGATCCAATATTTTTGATTAATTGGAGCATTTATGTTAGGTGTAACTAGAAGTTTTTCAAACTTGAAGCTCTTGTCTCTATGTTGGATAAGCCTCCAGTAGTCTGAAGGAAATTTAATGGTTTGAACTGACCTGGACACAGTGCTGCTCTTTCCTGATCCGGTGGAGTTCATACTTCTCCCCATCTCTTTATAACGAGTCCTTTTCTGATCCGCCACAAAGCTAGACAGAAAACAGAGCAACAATGATGTACAAAGATTGGAGGAATAGGAGATGATGAGGATATAAATCCTCATACACCAAATGATAAGAGTGATATGAAAAAAAAAGGACCTCACCAGGGCTTAGTTTTATTATTCTCTGACTGAAGGTGATTGGCTGCAGAGACAAAAATGCAAAGGAATCATACGTCAATAGATATTCCAGAATGATTTAATGTAATGAGTGAAAAAGTTTAAATATCTTTGTGTTTTGACATGAGTGATGGTAGATTTAAGTAAACATTTTAAACATGTAGAGATTTCAATAATCTGGCATGGAGAAGAAAAATTCAGATCAAAAGTTAAGCCGTTTAAAAATTAAGAATAAAATTCGATATTTTCACAAAAAGGATTTACCAGAGGAGTAAAAAACAAGACTATAAACTTTTAGATAATAGGTGTTTTGAGCCTATTTTTGGGGGTGCTAGAATACTCCTAAATTGAATAAAAGCACCCTTAAAATTTGTTTTATTAAAAAACAACAAAAGTTGTTTTTAATACTGTATGTGCTTTTTAAAATAAAAAAATACAACAACCAAACATTATTTGGTTTAAAGAGTAATATCTTTGTTCATATCATATTCCAAATGGTTTGATCCATCATGCTACCTTGTGTGTAATTCGGGTCATTAATTATTTTTAATGACTCGAATGATTTTTAAAAACTCTGGTACAGCCATTATAAGATTGCTTCTATGACATCCACAGAAGAGAGAACTCCCTAAAAGATTTTGCGACCACTCATCCACTTAAAAGCTCATCTTGTAGGAGCAAATTTCTACCCCAAATTTAAAAGATAAATACAAGTTTAAAAATGCCTTATTATCCATAGCTAATGAAAGCACCACATCTGGATAGGCCGTACATAGGCCAGATGAAAGGCAGTGCATCTTCTTTTCCCTAATAGTCGAGTTGTTTGTGCAGCAGGATAGAGACCTGCTCTCTCAGAAAGATTCGCCACCATCAGACATCTAAACTGTCACAAGTCTGATCTTATCTGACAAAATAAGTTACTAAACGTCCACATTTCCAGCTTAAAAACACAAATATCCCATTTAGATCACTTTAATTGTGAGTTTTCCCCCCCACCTTACACAGACATTAATTTATATTTAACTTTATCTTATGCGTTACCACCGTTCACAGTATTGTCCATGAGGACCTAAAGACATGGAATGGAGGTATGAGATATACTAAAGAACCTGTTGAGACCTGCCAGCTTGTCAACATCTCTCTCCCTTTTCCACTTTTCATGCTTTCTTCTGACAGACGGCTGGATTAAGGAAGCAAAAGATAACGAAGGATCGGCTGCATCCGCCAACTCACTCTTTCAGGTCCACCCTGTCTGCTCTGAAACATTTAATTTACTAATTCACTGCCATCCTGCTCAGCCGTTAAGACTTTAATCTGTTCCTGCCCCATCTTTATATTATTTAATACCATTATGGTCAATTAGGATCTGTTGGTACATTACATCTACAAAGTGTTTTTGCTGTACATGAGACATTAGCTCCCTCGATATAAATTACTCTGAACACAATCACTGCACTTAAAAAACACAAAATCTCTCATTTAAATCCTGAAATACTTTCACATTCATTTCATTCTTTCTAAAAAAAAAAAAAAAAAAAAAAAAAAAAAGACATGATAAGATGGAAGTCATTTGTTCAGAAAACAATGACTTTATTTTGAGGAAATACTGTGTTATTTATATCCTCTTTGCCAAATAATCTCTGGATTTAATCCAAATGCTTTTCCCAGACAAAATAAACCCGTTTCCTGCTCGACATTTATTCCTCTTTATCTCGGTTTAGGCTACAATTATATCTACTCAAAATCCCTGCAGTAGCCTTTGATCTCGCCTATGTAAAAGGGATTTATCAAAGCTCTGCTTTTGGCAGCTTAAATTAAAGAAAAAAGTTCTAAAATCCAAAAACACAAATCTCTTAAAAACAACTTTAGAAAAGTTTTCCACTTTTTATTCTTTGCACAGCTTAAAATAAATGTTGTAATACAGTAACATGTCTGGCTTTTAAAAGTTTTACTTTATGCTCTAGCAGCTTTCACACTGATATCTTTTGAGTATTAGTCAAAATTTTAGGCTTTAGATAACAATCAAGAACAAAAACAACAACAACAAAAAAACATTATGAGATCAAGAAACAAGAAAACTGCATCTTCACATCACCGATCACTTGGAAAAGAGAACATTTTATATTGTGTCTATAGGTTTATATGATTGTATTGACATAACTTAGAACACATAATTGGACCAATTTAAATCAGTATTTTAGCACAAAAGAAATTATTTCCACAATTAATAAGCTAAAACTGTTATTAAATAAGACAATAACTTTGGAATTGGGCTTCTCCCAGTTAATATATCAATTATTGGTTAAACATCTTAAAAGTTCTTAAAAAAAAAAAAATCGTGAGATCCTGTAGATAGTTTCATTTTTCCTTAGGATGTCCAACGATTTTGTATTAAGGTATATACAAGGCCAAAATCCAAAGGAAACGTAAAAATTTACAGGAATGGTCCTCGTTTCTGTTTCTTTGACAATAACTTATACAGACACATTTTAACTATTGTTTGACATCACTTTAAATTTCGATACAAGTGAGAATGCTGTATTTTCTGGATATTTGGAATATATGTGTTGTGCTGCTTTCAAAACAGACTGATTTGGCCGTTTTAAAATATTTGCTGTTGTAAAAATCCTCATTTATTTCCATTTTCCTACATTAATGGAACCTGTTTGTCACACTTCACTTCTGTTTGAGGTTCTCTAGATTAAAAACGACCTTAAAAAAAGATTAAAAAACGCATATCTTCTAACTAGAGCTAAATTTCATATATATTTAATGATCCTTAAGTCTGCTATTTACAGGCTGCTCTTCTCAAAACCTCCCCTATGTAGCTTCAGAGGGTCGAATTATTCATTGAATGAGTCATGTGACCATGCGATCAGATGCAGGAATTCATTTGAGGAAAAAGGAAAAAAGTTTTTTGACACATTAAGACATTTTTACAATCACTTTAGTCACGGGAGAGCAATAGAGCAGTGCTTCCTGCAGATAAAAAGTTAAAGGGTCTCTAGGAAATACACACAGACTGTTTTCTTAAGAAAAATAAAAGCACACCAACTGTACTAATGGCTAATACTGAATACCTGAAAAAATTAATAAAATCTTTATTATCTCTTTGTTTTAAAATATCAGTAAAATCCTGTTTTACAGCAAATTCTCTCTCTCACAGTGTGACATCATGTACTCTACCAACATAATTATCGACAGCTCATTGCAGGACGCTAGAAATAACATTTAATGTTATGTTTTATTTAAGGGTTTGGAGGGAAAAAATTAACTGGTAGCTGAAGTTTTGGAAAAAAAAAATTGGAAATGCTAAAAAATAATATGATTTGTTTATTTCTTCTGGATAAGCTGCAGCCAAACACCAGAGGTGGAAAGTAACAAAGTACATTTACTTGATAAATGTGCTCAAGTATTTATTTATTAATTTTTTTGAGTATCTTAACTTTACTTGAGTCATTTTTTGGGAGGGAAACATAACTTTCCCTCCACTACATTTCAAAGTAAAATACTGTACGTTCTCCACTCCATTTCTAGGAAGCTGCTAGTTCTTGCTCCTTTTGGCTCAGCTTAGCTTTTTAATCCGCTGTTGCTGTTTTTCTTTCTTGAAATGCAATTTCAACATGCAAGATAGCGGCCCTTAGGATTAAATTTGCACACCACTTTTTTAGAGATTTAATAATGTTCCACAAATGCAAGAAACTTAGTGTAGATATTAGTTTATATTTTTATTAAAAGCTGTAGTTGTTGCCATGTGGCCAAGTTGTTCAGTAGGATGAGTTCTCCAATCAGAGCTGTAGTTTCTTTGTAATCATAATAGATTCAACCTTAAACCTCTATTCTATAGGGAAAGTGTGAAGAGAATCAACACACTCCTGTTTTCTATTGGTTTGTTTTTGAATTAGAAAGAATCATCAAAATGGCCATCCTTATTTTTTTTTAGCATTTTGATGCTGAAGTTGTTGAAGAAGAATTCTACTTTATTGTCCCTGAATTTTCACAAGTATAAAGCATGAAATTAACTCTCTGCATTTAACCATTCCCTTTGTGGAGCAGTGGGTTGCCATTGTGCGGTCCCTGGTGAGCAGTGTGAGGTTAAAGGTCTTGCTCAGGGACCCAGAGTGGCAGTCTGTGGGAGTGGGGCTTGAACTTAGAACCTCTGGGATCCAAGCGTAACGCCCTTAGCACTAGGCCGCCACTCCCCATCTTTAAGGATGCCGTAGAATCTGTTGCAGATAGTTCTACGCATCAATACATCAGGTGGTGTAGGAAAGTTACAAGTTCTTTAAAATGACACTGATTGTACTGATAAAAGAAAATGTAATTTGTGATAATTGAATACTTAAGTATTTTCAAAAGTGGGTACTTCAATACTTTGAGTAGATTATTTGACTGTGTAACTTTTACTTGTAGGCGAGTTAGACTTGACTGTGAGTATCAATACTTTTACTCAAGTACTACTGTTGAGTATTTTGTCCAGCATTGATCACCTTAATTTAGAAAAGTCGTTGTCAAAAAAAAAGAAAACCCTTGGATAGGATGCATAAATATTTGGCCACTTTAGTAAAACATTTATCAAACATTATCACAGATTCTGCATCGAGTCTAAATGTCTTCAGTTAACCAAACAAGAGGAGTTATTAGTGGAACGTGAACCGTTGTGTCTTTACAGTATGTTTAAGGTTAAATCTATAAATTCAAGCCATCAACTAATCAGTATCCTCCTTTTGGGGCAAGAATCGCCCAGATGACCTACAAACCCAAACGCAGCATCAAAGCCAGGTCATTACAGGCCATTATGTGTTTGCTCTTCTTAGCACCGGAGCCTCTACTCGTGTATTCACAGCAGATCACAAGAATGACCAAGGTACACACACTCAGAGGAGAAGCAGCCATGCATGTGGTGTCTTTCCACACTTCTACCAACTGTTTGCTTTTCCTTCATGAAGAAACAGGACTGAGGAATGGAGCGCAGTGCCACAAGATGTTCTGTTTATTCTGCTGACACTGTTTTGTTTGGAGGAGATCTGAACCTCATTTAAACACGTTCACACACTAGGAACTGATAGGAGTGAGGCTGCACATGTAATTGTTTCTACTGCATTCACAAGTTGGCTTTATTCAGCTGTAACTAATACCAAGAGAGATATGGAATTATATAAAAAAATATGGCTATAAAATATAAAGATTGTTTACAAATGTGTTTTCTTTGGGCTTTAAAAATAGTTTATGACTATGTTTTAAGTTAGCATCTGGATTTCTAATGTTTGGACTCACTGGAGTCCAGTGGGACAACGCTAATAAAAACCTAAAGTTTGTTTAGAAACATCTGAAGTAGTTATCCTTTCATTTAAAACCAAACAGAACTTAATCTTAACAAACAAAGTTGGGAAGCATTTAACTCTTCCTGCAGATTAAAAGTCATTGATAATGAGACGGTACAAAACATCTCACACTTCTCAAAACAAGTACTTCTTTATCCACTGAAACCTTTAAGAATAGAGGCTACACCTGCCATTTGGGATAAGGTTTGATTATTGAAATCACATTTTTAAACAGAGAAATGGAGGAAACTGTTAACAATGAGCAGACATTTCTAATCTGATTTGTATTGTAAGTTTTCCTCTGAACTGACCTTCAGCTCCCAATGAAAGGTCATCTTCAAAGCTGCAGCCGTTTCTCACTCCTGTTCACACAGACATGCATAGCTAGAGTAAATACAATGTGGTGAAGTGACGAAATAGCTACACAAGCACTTAAAGGGACCGTCTTCTTTCTACTTTGTTGTACAGGGGTTGTGATGATTAGTTTTCAGTAGTCAGTGTATTACCTACTACTAAAGTAATTTGTGGTAAGAATGAAAATCAGTAAAATTGCAAAACCAGTTGTGATTACTAATCCTTGCTACATATTTAGCAAAAACATAAGAAACAATGGATTACCTTTGCTGGGAGGAGTACTTTGTTCTTCCAGTGATGCTCCGTTTGGAGTTCTGGACAAGAAAATAAAAGTATATTATGAACCTTAATTAAAAACCTAACTTAAAAAAAAAGATTTCTATAAAAGGCACACTGCAGACTTTGTGACCTGAAGAGTTGACGCATTTTAAAGGATTCCTTAGGCCAATATACAGTGCTTGACACAAGCGGAACTCCTCTCTTGAAATACCGACTATGTAAGTTGGGAGAAGACTCGCCATCATTGGCCAGGTCGTGTGACCTGTGGCCACGGGCTCTTATATGGTCATTGAGCTATTGTTCTACTATTTTTCTGCTTCAACTACTGGTCATGGCTGAGGCAAGGAAAAATTTTAATCTTCTAAATAGGCTAAAAAGAGAAAACGTGAAAGGGATCGTGCCTGAGGAAAGACAACAGTCGAGGAAAGACAAGGAGTTTATTTGTTGAAGCTGGCTGAAAGAAGAAGCCAGATGTAAAACCGACTGTCTTTTCTCAATTTTATCATTAGACTGCTAAGTTGACACTTCCCTCCTAATATATAGTAGGGATGGAACGGTTTATGAAAACCGTCCACACCGTTCGGTTCGACTGTCTCTGTTCGATTCGTGTGTGTTGCGTTCGGTTCATGCGCAGCTCCTTTTTCTCATAGGCGAAGCGTTTACACTCCAGAGCAGAGGGTGGCGGTACTGCGACCAAAGCCAACCACCAGTAGTAAACAAGAAGACGCGAAGCAGCGTAGCCGGGTGTAGCAGAAAAAAAATCAGTTGTTGTGGAGAATTGTGTGGGTATGCGGAGTGGGAAAAAACAGTTGGAAGACGCGCCAGCAGCACTTTATAGGTCTGCTGTATGGGACCACTTTGCATTTAGAGTGACCTACGATGACGGCAGAAAGAAAGCTGTGGATAAAAGTGCAACAGTGTGCAAGCATTGTGCAACACGTGCTGTACTATACAAGACATAATAGATTTTCCTAACAATTAACATATACCGAACCGAACACCGTGACCACAAAACCGTGAACCGAACCGTGGATTTTGTGAACCGTTCCACCCCTAGTATACAGTAATATATATTTGTTATAATTTTCTATGTTTAGTAGAAGCAAAATACGGTCAGTTACAGGTATAGCGCACCTAGTGGACAAAAGTTACACTGTGTGCCTTTAAATACAAAGCAGGATAATTGGAATCAAATCTGTTACCTTTTTATAATCTAAAATGCTTTCTATGAAAAAGATCAGATTAAATAACAATAAAGATTGTAATGGCAGCAATGGACTACCAATATACTTTTCATACAGAAAGACATGTTTAAATCCAAGATAATTCAAACATTAACCCTTTTTAATTTGTTTTATTGTTAATACTTTTTCACAACATGATTGTGGGGTTACAAAGACATATATAGAAAAAACAGCAATGTACTGATAAATCTGTCGGAGTTTATCTGATATGGATAATAATCCCTAAATAATCAGCTCGTCCAAAAATGACTATACCTAGCTGGGATGGGTTATAACTTAGAAAAGTGGTCCTTTAAGTTGAGTATTATAGGAAAGATTAAGGAAAAAGCTAATTTAAAGGCTGCTCAGAGATGTAAAAAGTTGGTTTAAAGAAAACAGCATTTAAATCTGTGGCTTAATATGGCTGCAAGATGGCGAGAGAGAGCAAAACTTCTATCAGGTTCAAACTGCATTTTTTTGCAGACTTGATGTTGTGAAAATAGTCTGTAGTTGTTCAGGGTGAAAGACACACTGACCACAGATGTAGAACTCTCTCAACCTACAACATGTCTAAAGTAATTTCATCATCCTGCTAAACGAGCGCAGTGACACAAACGAGTGACACAAGTTCTTCCTTTTTTCTCCAGCAACAAGTACTTTCACCGCTGTCCTTTTGCGATAATCCTCCTCTCCCCCCTTCCTGAGTCACACTTCCTAAAGCGTTAATACCTTAAACCTGTGTGTCCAGTAACTGAGCTCCTTGTTGGATCCGCCTGATATGATTAGGCTGCAGCAACAACACACAATATCTACAGGTGCTGGTCATAAAATTAGAATATCATGAAAAAGTAGATTGATTTCAGTAATTCCATTTAAAAAGTGAAACTTGTATATTATATTCATACATTACATACAAACTCATATATTTCAGATGTTTATTTTGTTTAATTTTGATGATTACAAATGACAACAAATGAAAATCTCAAATTCATCATATCAGAAAATTAGAATATTGTGAAAAGGTTCAAAATTGATGGCCCCTGGTGCCACACTCTAATCAGCTAATTAACTCAAACCACCTGCAAAAGCCTTTAAATGGTCTTTCAGTCTAGTTCTATAGGCTACACAATCATGGGGAAGACTGCTGACTTGACAGTTGTCCAAAAGACGACCATCGACACCTTGCACAAGGAGGGCAAGACACAAAAGGTCATCGCTAAAGAGGCTGGCTGTTCACAGAGCTCAGTGTCCAAGCACATTAATAGAGAGGCGAAGGGAAGGAAAAGATGTGGTCGAAAAAAGTGTACAAGCAAGAGAGATAACCGCACCCTGGAGAGGATTGTGAAACAAAACCCATTCAAAAATGTGGGGGAGATTCACAAAGAGTGGACTGCAGCTGGAGTGAGTGCTTCAAGAACCACCACACACAGACGTATGAAAGACATGGGTTTCTGCTGTCGCATTCCTTGTGTCAAGCCACTCTTGAACCACAGACAGCGTCAGAAGCGTCTTGCCTGGGCTAAAGAGAAACAGGACTGGACTGCTGGTGAGTGGTCCAAAGTCATGTTCTCTGATGAAAGTAAATTTTGCATTTCCTTTGGAAATCAAGGTCCCAGAGTCTGGAGGAAAAGAAGAGAGGCACTTCATCCACGTTGCTTGAAGTCCAGTGTAAAGTTTCCACAGTCAGTGATGGTTTGGGGTGCCATGTCATCTGCTGGTGTTGGTCCATTGTGTTTTCTGAGGTCCAGGGTCAACGCAGCCACATACCAGGAAGTTTTAGAGCACTTCATGCTTCCTGCAGCTGACCAACTTTTTGGAGATGCAGATTTCATTTTCCAACAGGACTTGGCACCTGCACACAGTGCCAAAGCTACCAGTACCTGGTTGAAGGACCATGGTATCCCTGTTCTTAATTGGCCAGCAAACTCTCCTGACCTTAACCCCATAGAAAATCTATGGGGTATTGTGAAGAAGAAGATGCAATACACCAGACCCAACAATTCAGAAGAGCTAAAAGCCACTATTAGAGCAACCTGGGCTATCATAACACCTGAGCAGTGCCACAGACTGATTGACTCCATGCCACGCCGCATTGCTGCAGTAATACAGGCCAAAGGAGGCCCAACTAAATACTGAGTGCTGTACATGCTCATACTTTTCATGTTCATACTTTTCAGTTGGCCAACATTTCTATAAATCCTTTGTTTTTATTGGTCTTCAGTAATATTCTAATTTTCTGATATGATGAATTTGGGATTTTCATCTGTTGTCATTTGTAATCATCAAAATTAAACAAAATAAACATCTGAAATATATGAGTTTGTATGTAATGTATGAATATAATATACAAGTTTCACTTTTTAAATGGAATTACTGAAATCAATCTACTTTTTCATGATATTCTAATTTTATGACCAGCACCTGTACCATTCTATTTAATTTGAAAATAATTTATTTATCCTAAAAGGGTAATAATTTTCAGTTTTGCCAAAGTTTATATCAATACTTAATGTCAAACATGTTCAAGTACTGCATTTTTTTCTTTTATAAATCACAGTAGGCTGGGATCATAAGCAAATAAAAGGAGTGCTGAATGGAGCGCAGAAAAAGTTGGCTTTTGTTCAGGCTCTTGAGCTCCTAACCTCTGTCTTTCACAATTCCTGACAAACATTTTAATGTCTGCAGCCTTTTGGAAATCTCACAAATAGGGCTGAGATCTACATTCTCTGAGGCATAAACACGGGAGACTGTTTTTGCAATTCTAGCCACACAAACGTCCAATAAAAGATCCTAAGGAGATCTTGAATTGCCAACTTTTGAGCTACTGAGACGTTGTTTCAAAATATTAGTAATAAAAAAAACTGGTTTACTGCGGCTGCTATCTCACACAGTGGCGTAATACTTCCTCTATGCCAAGAAGAAACAATTAATGACTCATGGCTGGAATGCTTGACGCAGATCAACGCTTTAAAAAAATAAATGAATCAAGAACTATCCTTAAAATTCTGACTGGTGCTTCTCACAAAAAAAACAAAACAAAAGCGCTATTTTAGCTGCCACTTAATATCAGAAGCTATATACTTTATTTCTCCGTATAAAAACCCTAAAATGTCAAATTGGACAAAAGGGTGTGCAGCCATTTTTCCTCCAGCTTTAAACATTGTCTGAGCGACATCCAGCTGGTTGCTGGGAACGCTGAGCTGTTGCACAAACTGTAGCTCTTATCACTGGAACAAACTTTATGTCCTTTATACGCACATCAAGGGTGAGGCAACAAGTGCAACAATGCACAGCTGCTACATATGGAAAGTTGACCCAGACTCCACCATGATGAGCCAGGTAAGCTTTTGGCGTCTACAGCTGATGCTATTGTAACCAGACAGCTGTTAATGCGGCTGCTAAGACGTTGTGTCATGTCCGTCAGAGCAGTGTGGACGGTTCTGGGCGGCAGTGCTTGAAACCATGTGAGCCTACGATAACAATGTTGACACAGCAGGAGGAACCCTCCTCTGTTTACTCTCCTTTTCTTTTTCTGCCTCTCTTTCCGTCTGCTGTCAGTTTCTTCCTTTCTCCCTTTGCCTCATAGTTCTCTAAAGATCATGTGCTCTATCATTGGGCGTTGGTCCCCTCCTTACAAGTCTTGTTTTTGGAAGTTCTGCATGTTGTATGCCTAAGGTTTTGGCTTCGTGCCGATCAAACGTCAGAAACTGATACGCCACACACGCCACTTTTTAAAACCCATGAGAAAATAAAAAGGAAAAAAATAATGAGCAACAAAATCAGTTGAGAAAAATGCCACTCAACCAGCTAGTTGGCTTAATGCTTCCCCCGCCCAAAATCTTCTATTTCCATCAAGTATATTAGCAGATATTTAACAATATGTATGCTGGGGAAGATTGTCAGTCATCCAGGTCATAGTCATTCCAAAAAAAACCGATCCACTGGACTTGGTCTGTCTGAAGACGTTTCGCTTCCCATCCAGGACATTTTTTTTTTGCCTTCAAACTTAGAAACCAAGTCCAGTGGATTGTTTTTAATTCATACAATATATATGCAAATAATTCCTGTATCGTTTACCATTTTCTAGCAATACTTTTTTAAAATGTCCTTTTTGTGATTGTGGGGAGTGGAGGCTCGTGGTTAGGGCATAGACGTAAATTTCTCAATAAATCAATACAGCTCAATTATTATTATTGACACTCTGAAAAAACCCTGAATGAGAATCAGTAAATAAATACCATACCTGCAATCAATCAGCCAGGTCGCAATCTTGCTAGGAACTTGTCCTGGCACAAAAAACAGGTTAGCATGTTAGAGCATTATTCCAGCAGACGTTTTGCAGGGATTACAAACTTCTAGAAAACTTGTATACCAATGTATGAACACAGCAATTCAGTCTGTAGATCCTAAATGAGGCTGTAGTTCAAACAGTAGAGAATAATCCACACAGTTTAGGATGTGAAAAATAAGTCAGTATTTTATCATAATGGCTCTAAAAACTATTCCCCACACTTACTCTACCATGTAAGCAGGCACAATATTATTATGAACATGTCAACTACCATTGGAATGCCAGATGTGTTAGCCAGAAACATTAGAGTTCATGAGAGGAGGTTCCCACTCGAAAATATACCTTTTTTTGGTTCTGTGATCTAAGGCTACCTTGATCTGATCTTTTCATGACAGTCGGAACACAGGTCTGATTTTTTTCCAACCTGACCCAGGCCACTTGGCTATGTGGTCCTGGATCCGATACGAATCTAATCTTTTCAAATGCGACCTGTGTCGCATTCATCCCATCTGAACGCCATTAGTAACCAACATAGGTCATTATTCTGCTTCTTGCTACACAGAAGCGGGAAAACAAAAAACAAACACCATGGCGGAAGATGATGCGGAGAGCAGTATTTTTTTTAACCATCTTGAAAAGATTGAGGTTTTAAGGTTTGGAAAGATTGCTAGATGCACTCCAGCACTACATCCAATGTTTACTTCCGTAAACATGAAGCATGCTGTCTTGTCACGTCATTGCGTCCTCTACTGCACATACGGGACACATAAGCTGTATGGATGCAGTTTACACAGGAGATCACATACAAGTCGCATATATCTGGATATGTGAACGGCAACGCGAAAAAATTGGATTTCACAAAACAATCGGAATTGAGCATCAAGGCGGCTGAAGTGTCAACATAGCCTTAGTGACCTAGATTATGAGTATTCAAGATCAACACTCATCTACTTTATTTTGTAAGCATATCTGTGTATCTCTACAAATTTCAATAGTATGTACAACAAATAAGCCCCTGAGATAGGTCAATTCCCCAGATAAACAGGAAGTTATAGATTATTTTTAAATGTTGGCAGACTTGTATGGATTTAAACAAAAAAAGGAAATCCACACTTTCATTATAATAATTGTATAGTAAAGAGTCAGTGTGTCTAAATGATATGACTATTAGCTCGTAAAATATGTTTAAAATAAAATGAATGTCTGGATTTTTCAGAAATATTCTGCTTCCAAAAAAGATACTTAGATCCCTGTAAATTGATTTGACTTTAAACCTTATGTTTGGAGGAGTTTTTTCTTCTATTGTGTTTAAGGAAAATATTATGAATAATCAGATGGGACCATCAGGAATGGATCTCATTTAGGCAGTAATCTTAGCATTTCTGACACTTTAGTCTAACCTGGTTCTTGGCTCTGTGTTTTCCCATTGCTTTGGATCTGCTGGGGCTGCTGAGGCTCACAGCGGTCTGCTTTTGATCCTTGCCCAATGGAGTCCCTGCTTCTGGCCCAGGCTTGACGCCGCTCATTGGCAATGGTGACAGGCCCAACAGAGGGATCTGAGGATCAATCGCACAACAACAAAGAACCTGTATGAATGCTAAGATGTTGTCTGTCAGGTTAGCCAGCTTGTCAACAGAAAACAGAATAAGTTTAAACTTGCAGAGTCTAAATAAGTGACAACTCCTCAGCCTGATAAAAACAACAACAATCAAAAGGCTGCAGTGCAATCAGACAAAGTATGGAGGGTTAACAAGTAAAAAAATCCAATGATCAAATATACCATTAGAAAAAATAAAATTGCCAATAAATTTCATGCCAAATAATGAAATATTCAATTGATATATTTAATATACATTTATCATGAGATGTACATTTAGATCATATAATGTGCTGTTAATAATTAAAATACCTATTAAATAATTTCTAATTCATTTAAGTACACATTATACAATTTTACTGTATTCATTTATATAATGGTATCTATGCAGCAGACATATATGAAACAATTTATGCTGACAATTTAACCCATCAGTCAATGGCTGCGATTAGAGCGGCTGATTGGCTGAGTTGCACAACAAAAAAAAATATATAAATAAATACATAAATTAAAAAGAAAAAAAAGAAAACTTCCCCCTACCTTGTTATGACTCTGGGGTCAACATTTCAATAGAAAATTCAAAAATACATGTAATAAACTGATGCAAATAATTTACAAAAATATCTTTATAAGTTCAAGAGAAAGTTCCCAGTTGCCCAGCATAGAGGAATCTGCCACAGACTTAGCATTAGCCTCCGCCCACTTGCTAACACCAACTCATGAATAGGGCTGGGTATTGTTCAAAAATTTTCGGTACCGGTACCAATACCGATACCTTCACTTCGATACCGGTTCCTGAACGATACTTTTTTCGATACCAGTTTTATAATATCAATTCGAAGAAAAAGAAAATTACTCAACATAAAAAAGTACAAATCTTGAGTTTTATTTTAAGCTCTGATTTTTCCATTTACATTTTTCCTCTTACATAAAAAAAAAAAAAATCAGTGTCTAATATTCACTGTAACATTGTGAGGACCTTTTTACTTAGCAGTTTTACTTTAGAAAAATTACCATGTCTGACAAACAAGCCCGTTGAATGGGATCCTATTGACAGCGCACCGCTGGTATGGGGGGGTCTGAGCGGCTCCGACAGAAAGAATATTGGAAGGCAGGATGAACTGACTGCACTGATTAAGTTTTCAGGTGGATTTTCCCACTTACAAACATAATAAAACTACTTTATTCCCACTGATCACAGCAAATATAGCTGCAAGGCAAATAAAGGATAGAGTAGCTCCGCCCAACGCGCATCAGAGCCACTTTTGCACCGCGCAGCCGGAGCAGCAAAGCTTCTTCAGCCGCGCGTCAGAAGCTGGTACAAGCAGCAAAAAAGGAAGCAGCAGACGTGATTTTGCTTCTCCTGCTGCGTCCAGTTTGAAATTGCAGCATTTTTACATTAGTACAGCATTACTCCGCTCTGGCTTTGCTCTGCCCACGGGCTGCTGAGAGGAGGATGGTCGCGCTGGTTGCGGTCCGCTCTTCTTGCAGTCAAACACCGAGCAACTTTCTGCTCTTAAATTGCTTACGTCTACTCTACACTATTAGCATCAGTCTTAATAAAGTGAAGCCGCACTTTTGACCTGGGGGGCATTTTAAAGGAGTTCCGCAACGCTCACAACCAGTTCACAACAGATACACATCAACCCTGGCTGTAGGCGGGACCACCTGTGTATTTTTCCTGGATGACGCAATCACGTTAAGTGTTACAGCCAATCACCGAAACTTGGTACCGAAAGACTAGGCATGTTTCGATACTCGGTAGAACCGAAGCATTTCGGTCGGTACCATAAAAGACCCGAAGTTCGGTACCCAGCCCTACTCATGAACTTATTTGAAATAACCCTCCATTACACTTATGCATAAATGTTTAAACGTCATATCTGTGCTATACTTTTAACTTGGACATTTCTAATAAAGCTGTTAAATACTTACAGATACATGCCAAAATTTCAAGCGTTTTCCAAATTTTCAATAACTTATTTGAGGAGATGCAAGATTAAAAAGTAAGAAACTCTTACCTGGAACAGCACTGATCTGTCTTTCAAGAACTCCAACGTCCATTTTGGGCCTTGTGGTTTTTGTCATTCAGTCAGAAGACCGATGGCTCTGCAGGAAAATCTGCAGCAGGTGGCATTGCTGCGGAAAAATCAAAGGAATTAGTGGGTAACTCAGTAGGTGAACTAACCACAACATGTAAATAAAGATGCACTAAGAAATCCGTTTCATAAGCATCAGCTTGATTGTCCCCGATTGAACAGTACTAACAGGTCATGCTGAGGACTAAAAATACGCTATTCTAAATAAGAACTGAGGTGTTGAAAGTAGATAAAAGGAAACAGTCAGCATTTTATTTAGAGTGCAACAGGACGCAGGCCAACCCTGTAAGGGAGCAAACTGACAAAGAGTCATCTTAAAGAGATAACAGGAAAGCTAAACGTCTTAAGCTGCTTTGCTTTATTAGTTTGAGCTTTCATATACTCTGGAAATGTTCGCAGTCATTAAGAGTTATCATTCACAAAGAATACCAATAGTGATTCCTATTTGCAGTAAGACATGAGATCCATGGAAATTGGTTATCTAAACAGCTAAAAACTGTTTAAAATATGCACTTCAAATCATTATGATTTTCAGATCAGCACATGAAGAAAAAAAAACATACACAAAAATGAAACCAGCTAGAATGAAAGAAGGAAAAACTACATCCTCTCACAAACAAATATTTTGTCTTCCAAAAGTGTCAAATGAAGGCACTTGAATAAGAACCTACAGGGAGGGAAAAGATGTTGTGTGGCGTTGAGTTATTAATGACCCACCAGTAGGCCAGCTGAGATTACAGACACTACCACACAGGATGCAACAGCGTGACTGTCCAGAACAGAACATCCAAACCTGAAAACGAGGCCAACACAGAGCGCTTTAAAATTTGGTCTTAAAGCAAACAAGTCAGCAACTCCACTGGCATTGAGGAGGAAAGACAGTGATAAATATGTCCTTTCCATAGATTTTATAGCCTCTTTCTAAAATGAAGGCATCTTTGTAAGAACAACCTGGGAGCCATTTTTTAGCTGCTACATTTATACAGTAAAACAAGAGAAGAACTCGGGGTATGCAAACAGGTCTACGCAGCCTTGTGGTCGACATGTTGCTACCACATAATAACACAAAGTCTTCTGTAGTTTCCAGTTACGTCTACCTCTGCAGCGAAAGGAAAAAAACAAAACCGTCTAAACCTTAACATCCCCTGTAAAAAGTCTCCTATATAAACCAAGCAAAAAAAGGCTAAATGTTTCACATTAATATCCATTATGCAGAAAATAAAAGAAACACATTTAACGTACATTATGATGCTGATCAGCTTAATGTATGCACCCCGAATGCACAGACCAATGAGTAAGAAATGTAAGAAAAGAAAGTGAAGGGAAAAGTGCACGTAGTATATATATGCTCTGTTGGATCCTGGATTCTTTGTATGATAACTTCAGACTCTGAAAAGATCAAGGCTAAAAGATGAGTAAGATTAAAAAAGAAAAACAAAAAAACTCTTTACTACTCATATTTTTTACTTAAAGGTGACGTTGAGGATGTTCTTTTTGCGGGTGGATCATCAAAATAAGTGCTCCCAATTGTCAATCATTCTGATGATATGTCTACATAAGGCCGTCCTACGTGCTCGTCCCTATTTTCACCAACCGGTGGTGAATCTGACATAGTGGAAAAATTGCAAATGTTTTGGTAAGCAAGCTTGTATGAGTGATGCAAACAGCAACTTTTAAACAGAGCATGCACGAGGAGAAATGGGCATGTGCATGCTCCACGTACGTTTAATAGGCGTTCCCTCTCGGAGCGGGTAAAGGGTTGAGCATGTGCATTTTTTTTAAGAGGAAAGGGCAGGTCTTTTCAAAAATTCATGCAAATCCTCCACTTTACCTTTAATATCGCTTCTCTTACCAAGTAAAATGTGTGGCTACTCCATCCATGGGCAAGTTGGCACTGAACAACAAATATGTTTGTATATCTTTTCTTCTTTTAGGTAATGTTAACATCACAATGAGGGTTACTTTTCTTGTACACAAACTTCCTTAAACCTATAATGACTATTTCAAGTTTCATGATAAGAAAATTGGTTTATAAAAGTGTCTGGAATTGCTCTCTTTCACTTGCATAATTTTAATTACTTTAATATAGTCTTTAAAATACCACAAATGTGCATATAACTTTACATTTTGGTCTTCTTTACATGATATTAAATATCAGATATGGTGAATTAGTCATTACTTAAATTTATGTTTTTTTATCAAATGCTTTTTTACTATTACTTGAGTAAAATTATGATAAAGTGTTATTCCTCTTACTTGTGTGCAATTAGTCCATACTAGACCCACTCTGATTGGCGGATGCAACTGATTTCTGTATACAAACTCCAAAGGAGTTGTATCCAAAGGAGCTGGAAAAGCTCCCCTTAACTTCCACCCAGAATGAATCCATTGGAAGTTTTATTTTAAAGCCATGAAATATACGTTGACATATAATACACAAGAGAGTTCATAGTCCCCAGAGACTTTAGAGCTTCAGAGGATACAGTTGTCTAGAGAGTAGGACAAAGTATCTTCTGAAAAGTATAAAAGGAACAAATTGCCACAAAGTCGGGAGTCCAAAAACAACACGAGGATGCTGTGACTGACTATCAGAGGTGGATTTTACATAAAATAAATATCAAGCAACTTCCTTGATTGACTCAGCTGCATAATATTTGCCAACACACTGTAGATTATAAAAGGACTTAAACCAGATTGACAACTTTTTAAACATAAAGTGCTATAAAATTACATCAGTTGCAGAGATTCCTTTCTTGGGAAGCTTCATCTAAAGTTTCTGAGAGAATATGATGAAAGAGTGCCATCATGTCCAGGCAAAAGGGATACAGAGCTCCCCTAGGAGATATCTATCTATCTATGTGTAAAAATTACTTTGATGTAGCATATTAAAGTGAAACAGTACTGTAGTTTTAGTGTTGTTCCTATGTCAGAAGGATATTTGCTTCAAATGGTCCAATGTTGTTATTGCATAAACTGAAAACACAGCGAGAGCCTCCATTATGTTGAAGGTCTCAAGCAGAGGGAATGCCATGCAGCAGAGCTTTTCCAATGCACAAAAAATAAAAGGATGTCTAAATGTTGTGCAAATGTGCTTATTCAGCTCACCTGAAATACAACAGAAACCCAATCAGTTCCCATCATACACTTTTGGAGGTGAAGTAAAATGAAAAGTACCAAGGATTAGAAGGGAGAGAAACTGACAGAGCCAGAGGAGCGTGCAGCCAAAGCTGAATGAGAACGTGTGAAACAGGAAATAACTGTTTAGAGAGAAGAGCGGGATAACTTCCTGTACAAGAGAAAGATATAATAAAAGACTGAAAGAGATGGGGGTGAGAGTTAGGGACGCATTTATTTTTAGCTCTCTGCTGAATATGCAAACAAACTAGATGGCCAGAAAACAACAACAGACAAACAGGCAGCATAATGAAAACAAAATGGGCTGCTGCATCATCTTAAAAACATGATTACTTCACTCCACATTGAGATTACACACTACAAACTAAAGGCGATTTAAAGATCCTAAAGATGTGAATTAATGACCTGCATTAAAAATAGCAGCAGACATTGAAGGTCAATGCTAATGGTATCAGTACAATCTGTCAGTTCACACTGACAACAGCTTGCTAACAGTAAGCAATGATAAAGACTTCAACCATTTATATCTTCTTTTATTAGACAAGATATGTCTGATTCATTGGGCAAATAATTATAAATAAATAACTACTTGAAGATATTTTACATTTCTTATTCAATATCTTTCTATATATATCTAGTTGTTAATAGAATAGTAAAAATTGTCATTGAGTCATCGTTGTAATGATTATAAAAATAAAGTCATTTTAATATCTAAAAATCTATTTTTTGCAAAAATGCATTTTGGTTTAACAATCTACAGATCACTCCACATTTCCTGTGTTTAAATTGTCAGCATAATGCACTGACAAGGTGGGGGTCATGCAAAAAAATAATAATAATAATAATAATGAGGGGGGCAACTGATGAAAAATGCAAACATTACAGTATAAATAAGAGAAGTACTTCCTGTGCCGAGTCTAAAGCCTAAGCGTAAAAACATCTTAAAAAAACTTTCCAGCAGCCGTCTATCAGTCAGCTGCTCCTGTTAATGAAAAAAAAAAAAAAAAAAAGAAGGCTTCTGCTTATGGGAGATACGCATAAGCTGCTTGATTTGGGCCCTCCTGATATTTTCATTGGACCGATGTCTGAACTTTGACATCAGAACTTGGAGACAATAAGCATGTTTCCTCTTTTAAACTTCAGCTTTCTGTTTTTCTTTTTGCAAAGGTCTTGTTTCATGTCCTGCTCTTCAGGTAACAGTCTTAAAAAGAGTCAAACATCAAAATGAATGTTCCCAGCGGTAGTCTCTAAGCCACCCATCCTGAACGAAGCACCATCACTGCCATTCTTTAAGTTAGCCATTATAGGTGCAATGGGTAGCACTGCTGCCCTGCAGCGAGAAGGTTCTGGGTTCAATTCCCAGCCTGGGGTTTTTCTGCACTGAGTTTGCATGTTTTCCCTGTAAATGCATGGGTTCTCTCCGGGTACTCTGGTTTCCACCCACACTCCAAAAACACGACTGTTTGGTTAATTGGGCTCTCTAAAATCTCCATTGTGACGGAAAATGGATGGATGGACTACCGTTATAAACAGCATTTCAATTAATCTTGTACAGGTAATTCTACAAAAATTTATTTAAACAATCCATGCAAGAGTAATATTTCTGTTATCGAAATGGCTTTGAGGTTAAGAACTACAGAAATTCCCCGCCAGAACATTTGAAAAATATGCATTGAAACAATCAAAAAAATATGTTTTAGGTGTAACAGTCAGGCTCTTGAATACTTGTAGAGCCTCCTCTGACATGCTTTACTGCATCAATATGCCGTAGCATAGAGGCAGTCAGCCTGTGGCAATGCGTAGGTGCAATGGAAGCCCAGATTGCCTTGATGGATGCCTCCAGGTCGTCAGCCTTGTTGGGTCTTGTTGGTCTCTCATCTTCCTTCTTGACAACAGCCTAAAGAC